TAATTATGATATGATTATGTCAGATTTATTTGATGCTTCTCTTATTATTTCTACCTATTTATATTTCTGCAGTAGTATTAGTTCAAATAACTTTTCTGGTTCTCTACCACCTGAGATTGGGAATTGTACACAACTACTGCAAATGTGAGTGTTTAACTGTTGAATCTTTTATGTTTTTATTTCCTTCTTGTAATATAGATATTAACCTTCGAAATCAATTAGTGTTTCACACCCACCATAAAATTTCCTACATCTATTGCTTGCAGGTACATTGATAGTTCTGGACTCACCGGAGGAATACCTTTAACATTTGCTAATCTTGTGGAGCTGCAAGTCGCGTAAGATATATTGAATTCGAATCTTGGCTTTATCGTTAGATTTCTACAGCTATCTTTTTTTGCCTTTTGGGTGATTTTTTTCCTTGATGTTGTAACAGTTGGATTATGGATCTGGGATTTATAGGTCGGATACCAGACTTTATAGGAAAATGGACCAAACTTACTACCTTGTAAGTAGATTTCATTTTTGTAAAGTTTTATGTAATAGACTAGTTCCATTGCTCTATTTATTTATCTTTTCTATATGACAGTTACATTTGGGATTCAACAATTTGTATGTGTTTTACTGCAGGAGAATTGTCGGAACTGGTTTGAGTGGTCCAATACCATCGTCGTTTTCCAACTTAACTTCTTTGACAGAACTGTATGTGTTACGTTGGTGTCAGAACCATTGTCGTTTACTGCCTCTCTTTCTTTCCCTTTCTCCAAACCTTACTATTCTAAATGTAGGAGGCTTGGTGATATATCCAATGGAAGCTCTTCTCTTGAATTCATCAAAGACATGAAGTCTCTAAGTATATTGTAAGGAAACTTCGATCCAACTTCTACTTCAATTCATGATCAGATTAATGTACTGTTGAATGGTTTCTCGCTCCTCTGTGTATTTTAACATTTATGATATATGCCGCAGAGTGTTGAGGAACAGCAATCTCACCGGGACAGTACCACCTGAAATCGGAGGATTCTCAAGTCTGCAACAACTGTAAGTACATATGTCAGTGTGTTTCTTCAAATGCTCTGAAAGCGGTTTTAGGCTCTTTTCTGTAAAAAGAGTGAGATGATTTGTAAAAGTCACCGAGAGAGAATACGATACGAAATGATCTTTAATTGCTGATAATGCAATTTCTTATTATTCCTCATTCATAGCTAAACATGAATGGTTTAATGTGTTATCGTGTAATTCATGTCTGTTTTCCAGTGATTTAAGCTTCAACAAGCTACATGGACCAATTCCGGCTTCACTTTTCAACTTAAGTGGACTTACTCACTTGTAAGTTTTCTGCTTCTTTTTGGGTCGTTATGTACATCTACCCTGATATAATTGTGGAAAAACTTCATCATATTAGGTTTCTGGGAAACAACACGTTCAATGGTTCCTTGCCCACTCAAAAGAGGCAGACTCTGAGCAATATGTGGGTAACAAAATTCTTTATAATATTTTCATCTTTTCGAGGGTCTTTTAACAGATCCTCCTGAAATATACTCAAGTTTTATACACCTTTTACTTGGGCACTTATTCAAGTTGAATAAGGTTCCATTCTTGGTGAACAGAATTATGGAAACTGTTTTGATATATATATATAACATATTCTGTAGATCCTAATTATTCTTCTTTTATACTTACAGAGATGTGTCGTACAATGATTTGTCTGGAAGACTTCCTTCATGGGTCAGCTTACCAAACATGAAACTGTAAGTAAACAAAACACTTATATTCATTAGTACACTTATATTCATTAGTGTTATTCAATCTCAGAAAAAATTTCCTTGTGTATATTCATTAGGCTTCTTCATATCCAGCATGAAGCTTCCTTTTTTTGTAGGAAATATTTATTATAATCATAACAAAACTGTATTTTGTGCAGCAACTTAGTTGCTAACAACTTCACATTGGAAGGTCTTAACAACAGGTCATTTTCTTAATATATGTTCTTGTTGTGCTTGAAATCTAATACGTTTCTTTTTTTCTCTTTTATCATTTCTTTCTTAGATCTCTTTTTTTTTGTTAAAAGGGTTTTGTCAGGATTGAACTGCCTGCAGAATAACTTCCCCTGCAATCGAGGCAAAGGAATATGTAAGTGTAACAAAGAGCTATCCTCATAACCGTTACCGTTGGTTCTCCATGTGCTATGAACAACCACATTGACAGTGCTTGTATGTGCCGTTGTAAAAGATTTTCTCTGTTGACTGGTGTCTAGATTCGGACTTTTCGATCAACTGCGGAGGCCCCCAAATACGATCTGTTAACGGAGCAGTATTTGAGAGGGAGGATGAGGATCTTGGACCAGCTTCATTTGTCGTGAGTGATGTTCAGAGATGGGCAGCTAGTAGTGTAGGACTTTTTGCCGGGAGTAGCAATAATATATACAAAGCTACTTCAACATCACAATTTATCAACACTCTGGACTCAGAGCTTTTTCAGTCAGCAAGACTTTCTGCATCTTCTCTAAGGTATTACGGGTTGGGGCTAGAAAATGGAGGCTATACCGTAACACTTCAGTTTGCTGAAATACAAATTCTTGGTCCTTCTATTAACACTTGGAGAGGTTTAGGAAAACGCCGTTTCGACATTTATGTCCAGGTTTGCACTACTTGATCGAGCCTTTCACTTTACAAGCTAACTTTTCTTTGTATCTTCTTTCAAATTTGGTTCTGATGAATTCTAAGACCTAGCTCGGTTTTTCCAGGGAAGACTTGTTGAAAAGGATTTTGATGTACGAAGAACAGCTGGTGACTCTACTGTTCGAGCAGTTCAGAAAGAATATAAAGCAAATGTATCAGAAAATTACCTCGAAATTCATCTTTTCTGGGCTGGGAAAGGAACTTGTTGTATTCCTATTCAAGGGGCTTATGGGCCAATAATATCGGCTGTTAGTGCAAAACCAGGTAACACAAATGGCGAATTCTTTTTGTTTTACATGATTTTCACTGTCACTTGGTGCTAGTAAAGGCCTAGTGTTACATATTGTTGTTCAGATTTTGCACCAACGGTGGGCAATAGGCCACCATCAAAGGGAAAGGACAGGACTGGTGCTACTGTGGGTGTTATTGTTGGCATAGGACTTTTGAGCATCTTTGCGGGTGTGGTTATCTTTATCATTCGAAAAAGAAGAACGCGGTACACAGATGATGAAGGTATAGATGTTATAAGAACACAAACAAGCTGTTGTGTTGAATTATTTTGGCACTCTGATTAAAAATTAAACTTGAATATCATCTTTCAAATTGGTTCATTTTCAAAGGACCGACTTTTTTGTTGTTGCAGAGCTACTTGGTATGGACGTAAAGCCTTACACTTTTACTTACTCTGAACTTAAAAGTGCAACTCAAGATTTCGATCCTTCTAACAAGCTTGGAGAGGGAGGATTTGGGCCTGTTTATAAGGTAAGCCCCATAACAAAATGGGCGAAATATTACTAAGAAAACAATGTAATACGTTTTGTTTGCCTTTTGTACACATTTCAACAGGGAAAACTCAATGATGGAAGAGAGGTTGCGGTGAAACGGTTGTCGGTTGGATCTCGACAAGGGAAGGGACAATTTGTTGCAGAAATTGTAGCAATTTCTACAGTTCTGCATCGCAACCTAGTGAAACTTTACGGGTGCTGCTTTGAAGGAGATCATCGTTTGCTCGTATATGAGTATCTCCCTAATGGAAGTCTCGATCAGGCATTATTTGGTAATGAACAGAAACATGACTTATCTATCTCTGCTTCTGCCAAGCTAAAGTACTCATTATGCCCTCGATTTGGATGTTGCAGGGGATGATAAGACTGTACATCTTGATTGGTCAACCCGTTATGAGATATGTCTGGGAGTAGCTAGAGGTCTCGTTTATCTCCACGAGGAGGCGAGTGTTTGTGTAGTACACAGGGATGTGAAGGCCAGCAACATTTTGCTTGACTCTAGTTTAGTCCCAAAAATTTCTGATTTTGGGCTTGCAAAAATGTATGATGACAAGAAAACCCACATAAGTACCGGAGTGGCAGGGACGATGTAAGTATCCTTAAATCCTGACCTTTTTGGTTTCCAACACTAATATGGATTTTTATATATAACACATGTCGTTGTACCGATGTAGTGGATATCTTGCGCCCGAGTATGCCATGCGTGGACATCTAACAGAGAAAACGGATGTGTATGCCTTTGGTGTTGTGGTTCTTGAGCTAGTGAGTGGAAGGAAAAACTCTGATGAGAACCTGGCCGGTGAAAAAAGATATCTTCTTGAATGGGTACGTCTCCTTCGTAGTTATAAATTTGATTGTGGAAATGGTAATAAATCGTGGTGTGTGTATACACTACAGGTATGGAATCTACACGAGAAAAGCCGTGACGTTGAACTAATTGACGATGAACTGAGTGAATACAACATTGAAGAAGTGGAACGAGTGATCGGCATTGGTCTGCTGTGCACTCAGGCATCTCATGCCTTGAGACCACCAATGTCAAGAGTGGTGGCTATGCTTTCAGGAGATGTTGAAGTCAGTGATGTCACTTGTAAGCCAGGCTACCTAACCGACTCGGCATTTGATGACACCACAGGCTCCTCCTCTTACAGTGCCTTTCAAACCAAAGACACAAGCGGTTCCTACTCAACGACCTTTGTGACTCCGAGAGACAGCGACGCTAAGACAATGCTTGGAGTCAAGGTTAAGGAAGGAAGATGACAACGTCTCTTCTATCTCTATGATGCTTATGGTGATGTTTGTGTGTATATGACTATTTTCTTCTTTGATTCAATAAGTTTGAAGCTCTTCATTTGTAGCTGGTGAAGTTGAAAGAGATATTGAACTTATGTTGTGTTCCCAAATTGCAATAGACAAACTGCTTCCATGAAAGAAACTTGAGTTTCGGATTCTGTTGTTCAAGTCAATGCAGATGACATTACGTAAGAGACAGGAAACACATAACAGTGCAACTACGGTGGTCCACCGATTATTATGATGATGGGTACGGTACACATTATGCAACAAAAGGACACAAAGCAAAAGCTTTTATATAGACACCAATCAATGTTGTTTGGATTTCTGAACCAACCTAAAGTAAAAACCTCCGTCGACGATGCCCACGTGTCTGCTCCTCACCTTCTTGTTCTTCCTCTCCGGTTCGGTTGACCTGGTTCGAGCTCAAAACCGAACACATCCCGAAGAAGGTCTGTCTTTCTTTGAAACACACTTAATTAATTTGTTATGTGTTTAGTGTTAGAAACAAAGATCAATCAAAGAAGAAGAACAAGTTTTGGACAAGTTCATAGCCTTGTAAACTAGTTATTTACTCTCTATAACTACTCTACGAACTGTATGATCCTAAAGATCATAGCCTTGTACTAGTTACTTCGCATTTTCAATAGAAAAACTTATTTC